ACGTTACGTTACGTTACGTTACGTTCTTCTTCTTCTTCTTCTTCTTCTCTCTCTCTCTCTCTCTCTCTCTCTCTCTCTCTCTCTCTCTCTCTCTCTCTCTCTCTCTCTCTCTCTCTCTCTCTCTCTCGTTCTTTACACGCGACAATAGTCACGACAAAACCGCCACGGACTAATTTAATCGTTGCACGCCGCGTTGTTGGCGGCCTGTCTTCCCCCCCCCCCCCCTCCACCTCCCCCCCAACCCGCGAATCTCGCATTATTCTTTTCAACGAGAAATATTTTCATTCAAAAGCGGGGAGGGAGAGATTATTTTTCCACCGCCCTCTCTACACAAAGTAGCACGGCCTATGGAAAAAAACCTGTGGATTCGCGATCCGCGAAAAGGGCGAAACGTCAATTTGCGTTTCGTTTGCAGTCACTGACCTTTCCCATTAACTCACCGTCCCGGGAAAATTTATATTTGACTCGACTGCATACGTGTGTGTATATACGCACGCACACAGTCATACGGCGTTTATACGCCCACGAGCAGACGACGTACAGGGTCGCGGAGGGGGAGTGGAGGGGAGGGAAAAAAATATATATTCCGACGACGCGTGGAAAATTTACGTTGCACGGGGTGGCTCGATAACCGTTCACCTTAAACATCGAAGGGACTGGACCCGCGATTTACGTCCCGCTCGAGTCACTGGCATAAAACGAAACGTTCGTAAAACGGCCGAGGATTTCGTTTCCTTCCTTCAATAACTTTCCGATAAATTTCTCCTCTCTTGTTTTTATCACCGTTCTCGTCCGTCCGCGAAAACCGCGTCGTGTCTCGCGATTTTCATCTCGACCGGGAGGAAAATCGAGGGAAGAAAAGAGAAAGAGAAAAGTGGAAATAAAATTGTCGTAACGTTGCGTGGACAGCACGCACAGCCGGCCCAGGGAAATGTTTATAGCCGGACAAACGGGTTTTAGGAGTTTCTCACTTACGTAACCGGGTGTGGACGATGCGCTTAAACTTCTTTTTTTAACCGAGATTCCATGTTTGCTCGCGAAAATCCAAATGTTTATTTAGCTTTCGAGCTTTCTTCGCCGATAACCGAACTCTACGAACTCAGAGAGGGGGGAGGTACGCGCGTCGGCCTTGCGTCGAAAAAGCGGGAATCACGGCCGGATTGTCCGAGGTCCGGGGCGCAAAAACCTGTGGATTCATTCGATATTCGAACGTTTCTAAACCCGTCGAGGCGAAACAGGGGAGGGGGAAGGTTGCTTCGGGGGTTGCTGCGAGAGGGATACCGTTTCATGAATTAACCAACGCCGCCACCCCCTCGAGTCGATACGCTCGAACGATACGCTTCGCGACGCCTATTATGTAACGAGCGTACCCGCCGAATTTCCCTCCTCCTCTCCCTGGGTAAATTTGAGTTTTACTTATCGCGCCTGCTCGTAAACCGATTTCGCGCACCTCATTCCCTTTCTCTCTCTCTCTCTCTCCTCTTTTTCGTTTCTCCAGCGCGAAACCGTTAGAGGAACCGGGATCTAATCTGGAAATCTGCCGCTTCCGGTTCCCCTCTGGCCTCCTGATTTACCTCCTCGCGTATATATGTATATATATATATTTCTCTTCTCGGGGGCCACTTCCTGCCGGAAACGGCGAAACCGCCCACCAAACGCCACTCAACGCGGTTTAAGACCCGCGTTAAGAGGCGAGCGTGGCTTCCTCTTTATCGGGGAGAAGAGAACTCTACTCGAGGACGTACGAGCTGATAATAAGAGAAGGAGGAAGGGGGAAGGAGCTTTCGAATCGTGCGCCTCCATTACCCGCCGTATTTATCCACCTGTGCTCACAGCCCGGCTGCGTGTAGGTGTTAACGAGCGAGGGCGGCGTGATCGCGTGACCGACGACCTTTAGTCGTGCGCCGCAGAGGGAAGGGGAGGAGGAGAGACCCGAATTTTCGACCGTTTCGTTATTCCGTTATTTCCTTGTTTTTCTACTACCACCACCAACTTCCTCCATTTTCCATTATATCACCGAGGGAAGGGAAGGGAATTCTCGAAATTCGCGGCGAAAATTCTTCCTGCGCACGGTTTCGCGGGGGATGGAAGCGAGGGGTAGGGATAAAAACGAAGACTCGTAACAAATAACCGCGCAGCGCCGTCTCTCTCGTTGGCTGGCACTGAGTTTAGCCGTCACAGTCGCTGCCATCCTTCCTCCTCCCCCGTTTTCACCCCTCGTCGTTCGATATTTTTCCCAGTCGCTTGCCCGCCCCCCTCGCTCTCCTCCTTTCATCCATATATCCACGCCGGGATACGAGAAGGAGAGAACGGCAAAGTAGAAGAAGAAGAAGAAAAAGAAGAAGAGGTTGGTGGTTTCCATGGGAACCCAGGATCGTTCGTTCCCATCGCCGAATCGAGGCGGGACACCAAGCAGCTCCGATCCACGACGTCTTTCGCCGACGTCTATTCAAGTGTCCTAGGTCAAGTATACGATACACAAAGCGTTGTTCCATTGTCCAAGTCCGCGGAATGGCTCCTCTCTCTCTCTCTCTCTCTCTCTGTCTCTCTTTCGATCCGGATATTTCCGCCCGGATCCGCTCGATAAGGCTGGAGGGGAGAGGATAGGTTGCTCGGCGCGAAAACTGCCAATCGCTCGGGAAGAAATTTATCTGGGGACGAGAAGGGGAGAGTTTCTCGATAACTCGGGCAAGTTTTCATTAGTAGCCGGCCCGATAAACTCGCCAAGACTTCGCCAGCTTGTTCGTGGGATAATCGCAGTAATTATCCATGGAGCGATCTGCCTCGAATACCGCGACAGGGAATTTCAAGTTTGCGGTAGTAACTCCGCCAGCAGTAGCGTCGCCGGTGCGCGCCAATTCCCGTGACATTAATTATTGAAATCGCCCCCGGCACTCTTCTTCCGTATCACTCTCTCTCCCTCTCGCGCCCACCGATACACGCGTCTCCGTTTCACTACTCTCTCCTCGCCGTTCGCCGCTGCTCGTTTCGTCCTCGTTCCAACGGTTGGCGATCCTCACCGCGAGAGAGCTCTCGTTTTCTAGTTCGAAGGAAGTCCCTTGGGCGAAGTTCGCCGAGAGAAGTAGACAGACAGAGAGAGATATATATATATATATATATATACTCTCGTCGCTTAATATTCAATCGCTCAACCCGGCTTGTCGCCGGTGGCTCGCGACGAGAACAAACGAGAGACCGATAAATTAATATCGCCGTTCCCTTCTTCCACTTCTGTCTCTCTCTCTCTCTCTCTATCTTTCTTTCTCTTTCGTCGCGATACTCGACTCGAGTCCGCTCGTTATTGCAAACTGCATCGATTCGAAAATGATGAAATTCCTTCTCCAAAATCGGATATCGTAAGCGGATCGTTCCCGATCAATCGAACGATAATAACAATATTCCTTCTATTCGCCGGTGTCGCGTGCAAACGCTCCTTTAACGATATCGTGCGTGGAATCGCATCGGTTGCTTAACTCGGCGGGGAATCGAAGGCGTGCGATAATGGCCGGCCGCCAGAATCGGGCAACCTTTACAAATTGGAACGCGTCACGCCAACTGGCCGCCTCTTTGGAATCCGATAAACTCTTCCTCGCTCTTTCCTTCCAATTAAACTTTCCTCCCCGTCCGTCGTTTCTCTATCGATGCTCGAGCTTTAAATAGCGTAAATTGATAGGATGTCGGTGGAGGAGGGAGAAGGAGGAAGTCGAAGCGGGAAAATTGAAAGGAAGTCGACTTTATCTCGACCCGGACACGCGACTACGCGCACGGAGCACAACAAGCGGGAGAGAGAGAGAGAGAGAGAACTCCTCCCCTTCCTCATTGAGGAATTATTCCAACTGCTGGAGAATAATTCCGCGATAATTTCGCGATCGCGACGCACTTGGTACGACATTCGACATACTTCTCGGTTATTAAGCGAACGAAGACGCATCCTTCAACAATAGAGATCGCGAGTGAAACTTTTAACGAGGAATTTAATCCGAGCCGCTCTGTCCTTCGAACAGTGTCGTTTAATACCCACCGTAACGATATATATATATATATATACGCATACGACGCAATTATCGGGAACGAGAAAAGCTTTCGAGCAAGTTGCACGCGATCCTTGGAAGAAGTATGCTCCCAACTTGGCTCGACTCGCGTTAAATAAAGTTTCGAGGCAAGGGAATCGGCGAGCGTTGCGTCGAAGAGGAGGAGAACAGCCGTTAGACGTCCACCTGCCCCCGTCTGACACGCTCCTTTTTATCGCCGTCCCGTCACCGCTCTCTCCCGCCCCCCTTCCTCGCCATCGTAAAACGCGCGCGTCTCCTGGACGGGGATGGCCTCGTAAATTATCCATCGATACGCGCGCTCCTTTCCGTTCCATTCTCGGAAAACGTACGCGTTCCTCTCTCCTCTTTTCTCCCTTTCCTCGTTATCGATTTCGAATAGCAAGATCGTCCAATTTCGGGAAAAGGAGAAGTACCTTTGTCACGAAGAGAGGAGGTGAAAAATTGATTCTATCGAATAGAGAGACTGTTTCAAGGGAGGAGAAATAATAATAATAATAATAATATAAAATTGGGAATCGCGTTCGATCTATCGGCGCGCGGATAAAGTGGAAAAGGAAGGATGGCCAGTCCAGTCGGGGCTAATTTATCGGGGAAAATGCAGTTTCACCGAGTGGCACACCTTTGATATTTGCCGGAATCGATACCTGTTGAGTCGGGCGTACGGGCCGCGGCGATCCGCTATTATTACAACCTTTGTACTTACACGTGTCGATGCGCGGGCCCGATGCGTCCACCGGCATCCGTCCTTCCAGCATTCTCGATCGATACCCCGGCCTTTTTTCGCCCACCGAAATCGCGATAATTTTTCCCCGACGCGGATCGATAAAGTTTGGCGGAACACGCGATGCTATCGGGTCGATTGGGAACGGAATAAACGGGGGGGCGTTCGTTTCGACGTGACCGTAAGATCGGCCTGACCTCGAACGAGGGCGAATTATCCGCGATTTATTCGGGACAGGTTCGTGGAAAAGTTTCGATCGATCCCCGCCGCTTCGGTAAAAGTGGCCGCGTAATTGATCGTAATTTCGTTCGCGTCGCTTTAATTTCTGGCAACGTGTACGTTATAGAAGCGTTGTTCGCAGGCGCCGCTTCGACTGGGATTGGATCGAAAATTGATATTGTCGCGTGTGCGAGTCGATTACGAGTACGCGTAACAGCGATTACGGTTTAACGCGCGGGATATTCGATCGAGGCAGCCGATAAATCTGGCCGGGTGCCAATCGCGATTAAAAACGTGTCCCCGCCGAGGTAAAGCGAGATTCCATTTCTATTTCGGCACGAGGAGGATGTCGAGGATTTCCTCTCTCACCTCTTCCGCTCTCTTGGGAGATAGGATTATCGATCGTACGCGTACAAGTACGGAAGTATCGAGTTCGAGAAGGAGGAGGAGGAGGAGGAGGAGCGCGCGTGTCGCTCGATTAAAACAGTCGTTAAAGTTGCGATTACGCTGCGATAAACGCGTCTATTCCTCCTCGTGGTGGTGCGGAGTCGATTCGCGGAGTGAAGTCCGTGACTCGGTCTTGGAATTACTTTCCAAGTCGGGAACCTCGTTTCCGAGCGTAAGCGGCGTTAACCAGCCCCGGAACAAGCTCTCCCTCCTACCCAAGGGTGGCTGTATATCAGAGGGGTTGTACACGTGCTGAGCCAAATTAAATATTGAATATCGAGCCCCCTTTTCCCCACGGCGCTGTCAGTTACCTCTGTATACTATCGAGCGGCTTGACCTAGTTGTCCAATTATGCTATACACTGCTCTCTCCCCCCTCTCTCTCGCTCTGCGAAGTCGTTCAATCACGATTTTCGGAGCAATCGGAGGATACCGTCCCATCTCTCTCTCCATCCTTTCGGTCGTCTTCTTTGATTCACCTTCACGGTGATGAGAATTCACGGATGAATTTAATCCATCCTCTTTGGCCTTTCCTTTTTTTTTTTCCCCTCTTTTTTTCGTCAATACGTAGAATTGGAAATGGAATATCGTGCCAGAACGTGCCGGATTGATTCGATCGATTCGACGGGAGATACGGTTCTACCTTTGTCTCACGGTTTATATCGCGTTCCTTCACGACGACGCTAATTCGTGGTGTTTGATCGCGTAACTGCGAGATGACGTGCCTTCGGCGATATCTCCTCCTTCGTCCTCGCGCGGACGCCATCTCCTTTGACGCACGCGACCATCCCCTCTCCTCCTCTCGTTTCCCGCACGGTCAATTTATCTCCCGTCGAGGTATTATCGAGGGGTTGCTCCTCTTTTGTTTCACCCTATATTTAACCGTTTCTTCGATCGGGACGTACCGAGAGTAGAAAGTACTCGCTTTCTCTCTAGATCGAGGAGGCGAAGGATTCCTTTGGAGAGAGAGAAGAAAAAAAAAAAAAGAAAAAGAAAAGTAAAACTCGAACGTCTCCGCGGAGGTGAGAAAGAGAAAGGGAGCGAGTTTGAATGGGGAGGAGGAGAGAAGCAGGGTCCATTTTCCTAATAACGTCGGGGGTTCGGGCCGAGAGAGGTTAGATTCCCGTCGACTCTCTCTCTCTCTTTCTCGTTACTCGTATTCTTCTCCCTGGAACGACGTGGCGGGTTTCCTTCTCTTGTTATAAGCGCGCCCTTACGCCCCAACCCTAGCCTCCGTGACGCGAGCGAGCTAGCGTCGTCTTTTCAACCCCTTCGATCCGCCTCCCACGCCGTCACCATCCCCCCCGTTGTCGTGTTTCCAGTAGGGGGGAGGGGGGAGGAGGATCGGTCGAGATAGAGAGAAAAAGACTCTCGCGAAGCCTCTTACGAAACGTTTTGCTCGCGATAAATAATCGGGAGGGAGGGAAATGTAATCGCCGATCTCGCGAGAGGCGTTTATGCGATATCGATCGCGAGGGCGGCGTCGCCTCTGTAAAAAAAGGGGGGATTCGGAAGAAAGAAATGGAGGAAGAAAGGATCGTTAGCGATGGTGAAGAGCGGACGGACGACACGGACGGCGAGAAAGAGTTTCGACTCTTTCTCCTCTCGTTTCGAGGATTCCTTTCTCTCTTTTGGTCTGTTCTGTTTAAAGGGCGGATTGGATAGGGGGGAGTGGTGGAATTTATACGCGAAATCCGTGCGGAATTTCATTTCGTTCTTTCACGGAGAAGCAAAGGAAAAGGGGGGAGAGAACGATCGACGAGAGAGGGAGAGGGAGAAGGGAGGAAAGGGTGCGAACAGCCAGCGGCGAAGCGTGGAAAAAGGGTGACCATACTCGAAGGGACAAGGAGGAGAGGAGAGGCGAAGCGAAAGGGGTCGATAACACACATATCTATCCACTCTGCTACCCTCGCCCGAGCGGCAGTCTCTCCTCTTCTCGCCTTCCATCCATTCTGCCCTCGAACGCTCTCCAATCACTCTGAGCGCGAGCAACCAACCGAGCAAGCAGTTCCACGGTTACTTAACGTGATTAAATCCTCCCTCCCTCCCTCCATACCCTCGCCTAACCGCCTCGATTCGTCTCCTCCTCCGCCCCTTTTCTTCCGTCCGGTTCAGATTTCTCGGCCTTCTCTCAGACTCGATCGCGAGTCGCGATCGTTTGCTTCAACTCGTCCGCGTTTCATCGGTAAACCGGCGTTCGCGCCGCTACAAGCCCGTCCCTTTTTCACCCTCGTTCGACTCTCCCCGCAAATCTATTCACCGATATTCGAGCAGGGCTCGGGCCTGAGAGGAAGAAAGGCGGCCTCGTGTCGCGTAAGGCTCGATCCGTTCGATTTTTCTTTCATCGCGGGGCGGATATCGCGCGTCCCTTCCCAACCCGAATCGATCGTTCCGTTCGGAGAGGAACGATCGAAAAGTTCGATAATACGTTTCACCCTCAAAATTTTCCTATAATTCCTTCGATTACTTCCTTTTCTTTTCGAACGTGTAAAAGTGCCACTCTCGTCTCGCTCCTCTTTACAGATTTATATATCGATTTTAAAGACGATATCAGATACTCGTCACGTCTTCTAATAATAATAATAATAATAATAATAATAATAATAATAATAACGGCAATAATAATGATAATGGAAATGAATAATAATAGGCGTTGTTTCGGCGGGTCAATTTTTATCACAATGGCCGTACGTACGGACGTGGTTGGTAGGATTTTAATTGCGGAGTGGATCTGGAGCATTAGCGCGCGCCTCTTTCTCTGTGTGGAGAGAGAAACGGGCGAATGGGCGAAGAGGTGAGGAAGGAGGGGGGAAGGGAGCGCTTCCGGAAGGAAGAGGTTACCAGGCCGATCCGCTTGGCCGAAGCGTCTCGACGCATGGTGTATGTTGCGTCACGTCGAGGAAGTCGATGACCCACCTCTCCGTCTCCTCCTCTTCCACCTTCTCTTTCTCCCTCCTCCTTGCATTGCTGCACCAATGCACCGAGGCTGCACACGAGACCAGAACGCGTGCATCGGGCCGCGGAAACGCTCGTCTCCCAACTTTCTCGCCCGTAATCGTGCTACCACCGCCAACCTATCCAACTATATTTGTCCATTATTCGATATTCCAAACCAAACCGTGCCTTCTTCCCTCCCACGATTCTTCTATTCTCCCTTCTTCCTACTATTAAATTATTTCATCCGTTGATAAAAAAATATAGTACAGTTCGACGATGATCCTTCCCCCTCCCTCCCTCCCAAGTTGAATACTATTCATAGTTCGAATAGTTCGAGATAAAGTTCTGCCCAATAAATATTCTCGATTTCGCGCGCGATATTTTGGATAATCGTTAACCAAGGATCTCCTCTTCGTGGATCTTTCGTCGAAAGAGGAAGGAGACTTTTTCC